GTTGAGGGTCCAAACTTCCATACCATACAAAAGGACTGGGAATACATAACATTTGAGCATACGAGTTCTCAGATCTAGGCTCAAATCGCGGCTACAGAGCAGCTTCTTAATCTTCACAAAGGATGCACGGGCCTTTTCAATGCGAATCTTTATTTCTGAACAATAATCCGCGGTGCAGTCGACATTTGTACCCAGGTAGTCAGTAGTCATACCTCTCTACTCTTTCGAGCTCCTCGCCTTCCGCGTACAGATGTTCATTGGGCACTCCAGTTTTAGTGACAATCATGTATTTGGTCTTCTTAACATTGAGTGTCAGACCATATTCTCAACTAGTTGTGATGACGTTATTTAACATATTTTGAAGGTCTTGCATGTTTTCAGCGAGAAGGACTGTATCGTCCGCGTAGCGCAAATTGTTCAGTGGTATGCCGTTAACTAGTATTCCACCAGCATCGTTTTCGAGGGTTTTGTTAAAAAGAACACATCCCTGTCTAACTCCTCGTTTGATATCCACTGTTCTCGTCAGTTCAGATTGGACGCGAACAGACGCACTTTGATTGAGGTACAGTTTTACTATTATTTGTATATCTCTTGATCGAGATTTTTTCGTTCTTACGCTTCTATTAGTTGCTTGTGCCTTACTTCATCGAATGCTTTATTATAGTCAATAAAGCAGGCATATACATTTTGATTGACATCAAGGCATTGCTGCATTAAGACATTGTAGGCAAACAAAGCCTCCCTAGTACCGAAACCATTTCTAAATCCAAACTGAGTATCTGCTATATCTTCTTCTAATTTTCTGTAAATCCTGCGGTGGATGACTTTGAGAAAGATCTTAAGTGTATGACTCATAAGGCTGATCGCACGGTGTTCTTCACATTTTTTGGCATTATGGTTCTTTGGAATTGTGACAAACGTCGACTGGAGCCATTCCTTTGGTATCATCCCTGTTTCGTAGATCTTATTAAATAGAGAAGTGATAGCACCTAAGTGTTGTTCATCTCAATCAACTTGAGCGCATCTGCAGGTAAATCTTCAGGGCCAGGCACTTTCCCATCTTTGGCTGCTTTTATTGCCGCTTGCACTTCTTTCTTTAAAATAGATGGCCCCATTTCATTGTTAGTGCTGGTAGTGATTTCTTCTCTTTGGTGGTTGAAAAGGGTTTCGATGTATTGTTCCCATAGAGTCAATTGATCTTTAATATCCAACACAATGTCTCCATCTTCATTTGTAAGAATGTACGATGTTTTCTTCCGAACAGTTCCAGTAAACTCTTTTATTTTTTATGCATACTGTGTGAGTCGTGAAGTCTTTGCAGATTTTCTATTTCAGTACATTCCTCTGTTATCCACTCCTCCCTAGCTTGACGACATTTATATTTGATGACTTTCTGTATTCTTTTATATTCCTCTGTATTTTTCAGGTTCCTTCTTTCTCCCATAAGCATCAAAATTTCATCAGTCATCCAATCATTGCGCATTGTTCTTTTCTCAGGTTTCAGATATTTCTTGCAGGGTTCTATAATAGCCGATTTTAAACTTTGCCACATGTCTTCAGGTTGGCTCTGTGTTGCCGAACAGCAATTTATCAATTTACTTAGGTTTTCATTTATACCTTGGTACACCTTCACTTTCGCGTTATTACTTCTTAGTAGGCTGGTATCAATAGATCTTTGGTTCGACAAAACTTTCAGCTTCTTGAGCTTCACCATAATCTCCGTCACCAGAAGGTTGTGGTCCGAGCCTACATCTGCTCCTGGGTATGTTTTGACACTTTTCATTGCATTCCTATATCTCTGATTGAGGATAATATAATCAATTTGGTTTCGGACTATGCGGTTCTCATTGTCTCGTGGCGATTTCCATGTGTATAAGCGACGTTTTGGTAGTTTGAAGAACGTATTAGTTATTATCATGGAGTTTTCTTGGCAATATTGTAGAAGGCGATCTCCTCGCTCATTACGTTCGCCCAGTCCATACCGCCCAATCAATTTTCCACAGGAACCTTGTCCAATCTTTACATTCATGTCGCCCAGGAGCAAAGTGACGTCTTTGTTTTTAGTTAATTTCATGACGTCATCAATCTCTTTGTAGAACGATTTCACCTCCTCGTCGTCACTATCCACTGTTGGAGCGTAGACCTGAATCAGATTGAGTGTACCACAGTATGACTCAAGTTGTAAAAGCAAATCGCGAGGAGAAAAAGGTGCGAAGTTCCTCACCGATCTCTGAAGGCTCTCATCAAGAATGACCGCAACTCCGTGACGATGTTGACTCCGTGACTGCCTCCTGAGTAATAAATAATTTTGTCTTGAAGTCTACTCTGCCCGCAGTTTGTCCAGCGAGCTTCACTGATTCCCATTATTTTGATGTTCAATCTATTCATTTCCAGTATTACATTGTGTATTTTCCCTCGAGTGAACATGCTCTGAACATTCCATATTCCTATCTTTATTGGTTTTCGTAGTAGGGTATTTTTCGTATCGGTTGCATTACTCATATCAGTCACAACTGTCCTCCCCGGAGATCCGATCGGAGGACTTACTCCGGAATTATATTTAGTCCTGACTTCAGCCATGATGATAATGCAGGGAATATCGCTATGTGATCTTTAATGCAGTGGTTTTCCAATTTGCCTTCTGCATCCTTATGCCGTTCACTACTTGCTGCAGTTCATCCGCCTTTTGAGTTGATTTCTCAGCCCAAGGACAAAAGAGTGCCCTTGCATTTCACGGCTCTTTCCTCGAAGCTGTTGGCTAAAAAGTGGGGGCTGCTTATTCCGGCAGCCGTTCGGTCGTCAGAGCCTCGTTGGTTATCTAGCAGGGTGCAGCGGATAATCGAGATTATCACGCGAGCAGGTAAGGTTGACATTTGGGCTGACCTTTTCCTCGGCCTCGCCCCTTACACCCCCTTACACCAGCAGGGTATACAGATTGTTAACTGAACGGTTACTTATTGGGGAACAGAATTGCAACACTGCCTGCATTCCAAATGAGTACTATTAGCTAAGCTGCCGACTCGACCCGTCACGTCGTCTCTCAACGAACGGGCCGAGGTTGCCATACTTCAATCATAAAGCTCTTGCCGCGACTAATAAACAAATTAACAACCTCTATATGTGTCCATAATATATTCCCTGATAGTAATAAAATTCTTCTTAACTATTTAAGTTTCTAAAATAATAGGTGACGTGTTTATTTATAAATATTCGTAATTTTAGTATTAAATTTTACACTTCAATACTAAATACATAATAATACTTCATAGCGGCAAGAAAATGAATGAAAATTGATTGAATTATTATCACTACAGACGAATAAGTAGTAACAGAATCCTTAATGTGGCAACGCATGTACGAATTATGTTACATACAGTTTACCATTAGTTCTTATAGTGCTAATTTAAAATTGCACTTAAGTTGTAAATTTAACTTGAACGTGTACAGTAAAAAGGCCATCAGATAACAGCAATACGTAACT